TGGGGTGTGGGTCTGGAGTTGCTGGCCCAAGGAGTTGTGCTGGAGAAACTCATCTACATTTGGTCCCACTAAAAGGTCAGAGATCATGCATGGCCCGCCTGATCTATGACTGGATGAGACTGGGCGATCTGGGGATGGGGCAAATCTGTGTTTCACAAGGGAAGCATGTAAGTACTTATAGTCACAAGGCAGATTGGGGGATATGCCACAAACACTCCAGTTTCTCCCATCAGAGGGGATCCTGTTTCTCCAGCCCTTGAATCTGGACCTGCTTGTGTGAGCGTGACTGCCTCTGACCACGGGAACATTAGCAAATGAGCACAAGCAGAAGCTGGAAAAGAACTCTTGCACCAGGCTCACCTTTGCTTGTTTCCAGAACCTTCCGGCCTGTGTGTGAACTAGCCCAGGCTAGCCCCTCTTGACCCTGACAACCCCCAGGCCCTCAGGGTGTCTCTGCAGGGACAGTCACTGTGCCTATGGGAGCATCAACCACCTGACGCGCTGCCATCCTTAATGCACCACCCACCTAGCAGGCTCAGAGAATCAGGGTACCACTCCTTCCTGGGGTCACCCCAACACAGCTTTCTCACCTGAGCTTGGGCACAGCCCATCACAAACCTGATCCATCCACTAAGTCCCGGGACTGTCTCCTGCTCTAGACAAGGGACAGAAGCCAGGGGCTAAAGCTGATCAGCGCCCACCTACACTGGCAGGCACACCATCCGGCTTCTCGTCCTTGCTGCCCTCCACTCACCGCTGGGTCTCTCCCTGGCGTCCTCAGAGGACATCAGCCCCATGATTTCGTCAGCGTTCTTGGGGGCTTCAGTATCCACAGGCTGCCTCCTGGTTCCTTGAGCCCTCAGCACCTCCCAGTGTCAGCACACTCTCTCAAGATCGTGCCCCCACCCCACCCCACCTCTTGTCCTCACCAGTAACTGCATCACTTCCATGACCTCAACTGTAAGGGTCCTCCTCTGTGACTCCCTCCCTCTTGGGACTCTACCCCAGTAATCCTCCACCACCCCCCGCCCCTCCTCTCACTCAGTCTGATTCCACTCAGTCCTCCTGCCAGCAGCCCCCGGGGTCATGCCGGTGAGCCTGGTGTGACCGCCTGACCAAAGCCCTATTCTCAGTTAAATCCAACTCTGGGACTCTGGATGGACACCTGAGGACTAAACTTGGCTGGAGAAAATCTCAGGCTGCTGATGAACCCACTTCAAAGGGCACTTGACATTGCTGGACAATCCCACACCCGAGACCCGGGGCCTCATCTCCTCTTCCCTTGAACCTCCCACCACACTGGCTTCCATTCTCAAATAATGTCAGATTATAAAATGTTCACGTATAACACATTCATGTGGTTCAGTAATAAAAATTTAAAACAGGATATACAGTGAACTGTCTCCTTCCCAATCTCTGTCTCCCTCCCTGTCACCCTCCTACCTCCTGCTCTTTTCCTCCCCACTTCTGGTGTGTGTGTGCCCACCCACTCACAAGTAATCACTCTTATTAGTTCCTGGTGTATTCTTCTAGGCTGCCTGAATGCACACACAGGCAAATACAAATGAACATATTATAGAAATACATATGATATGTAAGATACAAAATTCTCTCTATATCTTTCCCCACTTTTATTTATTTGAACGCAACCATAAACTGTTCTGCATTGTGTTTTCTCCATGACATTCTGTATTGGAACAATTTCCACATCAGGACAGAGAGAACTTACTCATGCTTTTGTACAGCTATATAGTACTCCATTGTCTGGTGAGCTACGATTATTTGCCTGGGGCTACTGATGGACAGGTAGGGAGTTTCCAACACTTTGCTACTACACGGTGACTGGCCTGGTACCTGCATCACTTTCCATGGATATTAGAGTATGGATAAGATTCATTCCTGGAGGGGTGCCTGGGCGGCTCAGTCATTAAGCGTCTGCCTTCGG